GTCCCAGCAGAGGGACGAGATCCGATCCTGCTAATAACCCTTGCAGGTGCCCGCCACGCGGCCCGGGGAGTGCAGCGTCGTGCTCCTGCCGGCACCGCGCTGGCGCTGTTCCTGCTGCCTAGCCCTGCAGGTGGAGCAGAGGCCCCGGCCGGTCACCCCGAAAGACACTGGGTTTGGGCTGTTTTTTGTTAAAATTTTTGTTTCATTTTCTTTGAGACACGAGTTTGGCTATGGAACTCGGCCTGGCCTCGAATTTGCCACGATCGTCCTGCCTCAGCCTCCCCAAGTACTGCGGTTACAAGTGTGCACCGCCAAGTGACTGGATGAGCAGATGGCGGAGGCTGGGACCCAGAAACTCGCCAGGGTCCTGTGTGCTGTATCCTCCCCGGCCGCTGAGCCGCCCCTAACAGAGTCACCCAGGGCCCAAAGCACAGATTTCCGGGAGGCGGGGTTTCTTGAAGCCCACCTGGAGTGCCTGGGACCGCGTTTCTCAGCCAGGGAGACCCGGCCCTGGGGACACTTCTGAAAGGTCTAGAAGCATTTCTGTTGTCCTAACGGGCTGGGGGTGTGGGCAGAGGAGCACTACTGGCACAGACGGGGCTGAGACCAGGGCTGCTGCTGGCCCTTCTCCAGCATCCTCAGTTAGGTAGATTTTTTGGGCCGAGGATTTAGCTCAGTGGTGCCACCGCCTGCCCCACAAGTGCAAGGTCCTGAGTTCAATCCCAGGTACAACCACCACCACCTGAATAAAACGGTGAAAGCCAGACGCCAGGTGCCTTGGCAAGGTGCTGGCCTGTGAGTGGTGGCTGGCGTGATTCCCATCAGCGAGGGCTGGGCTGGGGGCCTCTGTCCTTCTGGGCTGGGAGGAGGCGGGGCAGCTGCTCCCTGTCAGCTGAGAGCCACCGCAGTGGCACCAGATGCCCGCTTCAAGTGCCCACACTCCAGGCTTCTCGGCGCTCGTCCTGCCTCTGAGGCCAGGAAGTGGTGCATCCTCGCCCAGAGCTGCAGAAATGCTGCCCCTGGGGTACCCGCGCCAGGTGGTGGCTGTGATGGGGACCCCAGGAGGGCGCTGAGCACACACAGCTGCCGATGGCTCAGTGCCAGAAACGCCTGGCCTCCCGGAGCAGCCGGGCAGCAGAAGAATGCAGGTTGGCAAAGAGGTTGCCTGGAAAGCGGGCCTGAGCAGACAGGACTTGTTTGTTTTTTGGTACTGGAAATCCAACTCAGGGCCTTGCACTTGCCAGGCAGGCGCTCTGCAGCTGAGCTGCATCCCCGGCTATTTTTTGTTTTGAGAAGAGGTCTCATTGTGTAGCCCACCCTGGCCTGGAATTCACAGCGATCCTCCTGCCTCAGCCTCTCGAGGGCTGGGATTACAGGTGTGCGCCACCACGCCGGGTTCTGCCTTATTTGTGGCGTGACTACGCATCCAGGTTTACAGCTGTGGTCTCCTCATCATTACTAAGCCCTTTTACTCTCAAGAGTCTTGAGTTTGGAAAGAAAATTACACACACCCTACTGTACCTCACTTTCCTCAAACAGTTGTGTGTGTGTGTGTGTTTTTTTTACCATTTGTAAAAGATTTTTGTGAAAAAGGGGCAACATCTTCGGATATGTCATCCACTGAATCCCGACACATGGGGGTCGTCAGTTCATACTAAGGCGAAAAACAGGGTTTCATGAACAGTTAGTTTTTTGCTTGTTTTTTTGGTACCGGGGATCGAACTCTGGTCTGCGCTTGTGAGGCAGGTGGCGGCACCAGAGCTAAATCCCCGGCCCACAGTTAGTTTTTGATGGGGAAACCAGGGGAATAATGCCAGTGAACAGTTAGTTTTTTGCTTGTTTTTTTGGTACCGGGGATCGAACTCTGGTCTTTGCGCTTGTGAGGCAGGCGGCGGGCACCAGAGCTAAATCCCCGGCCCACAGTTAGTTTTTGATGGGGAAACCAGGGGAATAATGCCAAATTTCTCGGAAAAAAGAAATCTCTTTTTTGTTGCGTTTCAAACTCCCCACACAATCTGTGAATTCCGGAGGGAACGAAATAGCCAGGCAGGAGGGAAGGGGAGGAGGGAGGCCGCGGCACCCACACACCAGGAAGTGAGCCCCAGTCAGGCCGAGCAGGTGCTGCTGACTCCGCCAGCCCCGCAGTCGCTGGCGCTGTGGGAATTAACAGATCAGTGGCTCCCGGGATTTATCCTCCCAGAGCTGCTCCCCGAGGGCCCTGCCGGGAGGGATTTTCTTTCTTTTTTTTCTTTTCTCTTAAGCCAAAGATGAAAGCACCGCTGTCCCTGGTGTCTGAGAGTTCTGTTCTTAAGATGCAAGAGGACCTACTTTTGTTGCCTCTTCCCCCGTCCTCGCTTCTCATCAGCTCCATCTTTCTCAAACTGGCTTTGTTTTTTTTTTTTTTTTTGAGACAGAGTCCTGCCACGGAGTCTCGCCTGGCCTTGAACTCTCTGGGATCCTCCTGCCTCAGCCTCCTGAGTGCTGGATGACACACACCTGGGGCTGGTTTCGAAGGCAGGGCTGCTTCCTCACCCCTCGCAGTGTGGCAGCTGCTTTACTGTGACGCCAGGGACTGGCACGAAACGTGGGCTTTGCAGAGTCTCAGAGCTGCTAACTGCAGCCGAACTCCAGCGAGTCAAGCAGCAAAGCAGCACCCAACCTCTTGGATCCTCCGTTTTGCGTCTTGCAGACGGGCTGGCTAAGGTACAACTTGAGATAGAGGTTCTCTGATGCATTATGTGTAGATACAAAGTCTGTGTCCTCCCAGCCCTCGGGAGGCTGAGGCAGGAGGGTCACTGTGAGTTCAAGACCAGCCTGGGCTACACATGGACCCTGTCTCAAAAATCTCAAAAATCCAAGGCAAAACAAAAACATCGGGGATAGCCGGAACAGCTCCCGCTGAGGCAGGAGGATCATTGCAAGTTCGAGGCCGGTCCCGGCTACATGGCAAGACCCTGTCTCAAAAAACCAAAACCAAAGATTGGTACAGGGCAGTGGTGAGATGGAATCCCAGCCTGCCAGCCTCGGGTTCCTGGGGGCTCCCCGCCTGTGTCCCCTCTGCTGACCACTTCGGCACAAGGGCCACTGTCCTTCCGTCGTCCCCCCCGCCACGCCCCAGGTCTGGTACGAAGGCATCCGAAGCAGGAGGTAATAAGCTCCAGTCAGGGCACCTGCTCTGTGCTGCCACCTAGCGGTAGTTTCTCCTTTTGCACCCAGCGGCGAGCAAGGGAGGCCAAGGCTGCTTGGGTTGCCTTTCACTGCAGGCCCCAAATTTTCTCTACCAGACCTAAACTATTTCCTTTTCTTATGAAAACTTTCACTTTTTATTCCTGGGTCAGAAAACCGGGGAATGAGTTGGTGGGGTAAGACTTTTTGTGTGAGGGGAGGTGCGGGCTACTGGAGACTGAACGCAGGGAGGCCTAGTAGGGAGCCACACACCCAGCCTGACTGTGATTTACTTATTACTTGGTACTGAACCCAAGGCCTTTGCACTGAGCTACATCCCTAACCCTTTAATTTTTTTTTTTTTTTAATACTGAGAAAGGGTCTCAGTAAATAGTTAGGTTGCCCAGGCTGGGATTGAATTTGGGATTCTCCTGTCTCAGCCTCTTGAGTTCTTGGATCACAGGCGTGTGCCAAAATGCCTGGCTAGAGTTCACGTTCTCAATCACTATTTTGCTTTTTCAGTGCATAGATAACCTGAGTGGTGGGTGCAGGGACAGGAAAGAGAGAGTGCCCTGCATTAAAAAGAAGGAAAGAGAGCTGGGCGTGGTGGCGCACTCCTGTAATCCCAGCACTCAGGAGGCTGAGGCAGGAGGATCTCTGTGAGTTTGAGACCAGCCTGGGCTACACAGTGAGTTCCAGGTCAGACTCAACTACAGAGTGAGACCCTGTTTCAAAAAAGCCCCAAATCAAAACAAAACAAAACCCCCCCGCCAAAAAAAAAGAAGAAAAGGAGGGCCGGGGATTTAGATCAGTGGTTCCGCCACCTGTCAAACAAGTGCAAGGACCTGAGTTTGATCCCTGTTACCAAAAAATATATATATTTGGGGCCGGGGATTCAGCTCAGTGGTTCTGCCATCTGCCTTGCAAACGCAAGTACCTGAGTTCGATCTCTGGTACCAAAAAAAAAAAAAAAAAAAAAAAAAAAAGAAGAAGAAGAAGAAGAAGAAAAGGAAAGAGAAAAAGTGCCTGCCTCAAAGTACTTCCTCGGCCCAGCTGTGGGCCTTGGTGCAGTCTTCAGGGAATTTGGGACTCGGGTGGGTGCGGAGCTGTCCAACGTGCTGACCCGGGCCTGGATCCTGGCTCTGTCTCCCGGAGATGTGGTAGAGAAGGAAACGCTGGCTGTGACAACGCACGCCTGTGATCCTGGCACTCGGAAGGCTGAGGCAGGACGATCGCTGTGAGTTCAAGGCCAATTGAGGCACCATAGTGAGCGCAAGGCCAGGCTGGACTACATGAGACCCTGTCTCAAAAAACAACAACAACAGCAAAACCAAAGCCCAAACCAAACCAAATCAAAACATAAGAAGGGAGGAAAAGCCAAGGACTCGTGGGAGCAGGGGAGCCTGGAGCCCACGGGAGCCGGCAGACCTGGGTCCGAGACAACGGTTCCCCAGGACGGCCGCGAGGCTCCTCCTCTCCTGGTCTCCCGCCCCTCTGTGCCGGCCCTGCTCACTCTGCTGGGAAAAGGGCACTGCGACACGGAGGAAGAAACTCAACACGCGGGCCCAGGGCAGAGAACCGATCTGGAGTTTATTTGCGCTTTGCAAGCCGGGGGAGGCTCAGGGAGTGGGGGATGGTGCGGAGGTGCGGGGGGGCGGCAGCTGCGGCGTTCGCGTCTTCCCTCCCCTCCCTCTCGACTTAGTGTTGGCAAAGAGGGGGCCAAGCCCTTGATCGGCTTCTCCATAGGGAAGGGGAGATAGGAACTTTTCCTAAAGGGAAAACACATTTGCTTTCATGATTCAAAGCATGCAAGTAAGCCAGGAGTGTGGCGCACACCTATAACCCCAGCACACGGGAGGCTGAGGCAGGGGGGTTGCTGTGAGTAAAAGGCCAGCCTGAATTACAAAGCGAGACCCTGTCTCAAAACAAAACAAAACGCAGAGTCCCTTGGCTAAGGGACCGTGTGGCTCTGGTACCTGGGCCTTAACTGTCTTCCACGTCGAAGGCAGCGGCGAGATACTCCCGGGGCACGATCCCAACCAGACTGTTCAGCTCTCCAAACCACCAGCCGTAGACGCCGTATTCCTGCAAACGGGACAGAGGGTAGTTGTGTGGAATTTACATACGCTTATACCCATTTCACCTTCATCCTGACTATGGTAGAAACAGGAACTCTGGTGCCATTAAAGATCCTAAAGTGCTTTTTAAAATTAATGAATGAGTTTTGTTTTCTTGAGACAGGGTCTCACTATGTAGCCCCGGCTGGTGTCAAACTCGTGGTGATCCTCCTGCCTCAGCCTCCCACGCTGGGATGACAGGCGTGCGCCACCACACCTGGCTTTTCTGATGCCTTTTGACAGAAGCCAACTTGCTAGGAGGTGTGGAGTGTGGTCCTCCGGGGGTGGGGTGGGGACACTGTCATCTTTCTGACCTGCAGGGACTCAGGCGCAGGGTGTCTGCCTGGGGACATTCAGGACACCCCCCACCTCCGCTTCCTTACACATTTCTGTCCCGTTAGCTGCAACACAGGGGTGGGGACCAGGCCTCAGAAAGCCTCTCCGGGCCAAGACCAAGCCAAGGGGGCGGCCCTCCTGCCCCGGTGGATCTGACCGGTGGCTGCGCCACACTGGTGAGAAACGAAATGAGCGAGCTCAGCTCCCAGGCCCGCAACACCAGAGGGCGGGCGGAGGATGAGCCAGCAGCCAGCTCAGCCGAGCAAGCGTCGGGTCCGGGTCCCTTCCACGTGACCTCCCGGCCGGACCCGCGGGGCTGCGGGCTGCGAGGTTTAAACGCATGAATGGAAGCCGTGGCTCCGCTTCTCCCCGCCCACCCCCCACGCACCGCCCTCCCCGGTCTGAACGCCACGAGGTCTTTTAAAATAATTTCTACTTTGATGAATTGCTAGGGAGTCCGCGATCGCTCATCATCAAAGGGAGAAAAATGCAAATGAGATCCGGCCGAGAACTATCACCACCAAACGTTTATTTCACTGCGCGGTGCCAAAAAGAATTAAAACAACATTAAACTCACAGCAATCATGTTTAAGCCCTCGTTTCCAAGTGCCAAATTGCACCACTCTGGATCATACAGATGTTCGTTAATTATGCTAATTTTTATTAAACCATTAAAATGGAGAGCCCCGGCTCAGCCAGGCCGACCCCAGCTCTGAATGAACTCTTCTGCTCTTGTCTAGAGGTGATAATTTACTACATTTTTATTAAGTTGCTGATTCTTGGATTTCAGCTCATGGATGGCACAGAGAACTGAATTTCCGGGATCAGTGTTTTCCATAAAGCCCGACTTCTCTTTGCCCAGATGTTTGGAAAAACTGGAAAAATACTGAGAGGCTCCCCACACACCCTGCAGTCCTCAATTCGGATATTTTTTCTTGCAAGTCGGGCCATTGCGTGCCTCTCCAAGTAACCGTGCTGGGGCCTCGGAATTGTGTGTGGTCCCCGCTCCTGAACGCTAAGATTTTAATGCTACAGAATTGGTACCTAAAGTTGCTTTCGATAAGAATATAAAAAGTTATGTATTTTTTGGTTTTTATGGAGACAGAGTCTTGCCACGCAAAGATGACCTTGAGCTTGCTATGTAGTCCAGGGTGGCCTTGAGCTGGAGGCGACCCTCCTGCCTCAGCCTCTCCAGTGCTGGGATAAAAAGTTATTTATAGGGGCTGGGGATTTAGCTCAGTGGATTTAGCTCCATATATATATGTATGTATATATATGGAAAAAGTATATATGGAAACAAAACCAACAAAATCCTTCATATTGGTGCTTGCTTTTTGCCGCTAGAGTCACCTGAAAGGAGTACTGTGTGGTTTGCTTTTCATTATGAACCCTTGGGTGCACCAACCTTACCTCACCTCAAGCCCCACCCCAACAAAGAAATCTTAAAAACGAGAAAGTCAGCTACTTGGAGACTCCACTGTTGGGAGAGCAACTGTCATCCTGCAGGAGCAGAACCTGAAATAGATTCGGGGTTCATCGTCGGTGACAATCTGGCTTACTCACAGCTGGAAAAAGGATTTATGCTGCTAATCTCCATCAGCACAGAAAAAAAAAAAAATCCTACCAAACCTGCCATAAAAAGAGCAGCAGTTACTATAAAGAAAAAGCGGTATGGCCACCGCTGACCAGGGGCCCCTCGCCCAGCCCAGCGTGACTCAGCCTCCAGTGGTTTCCTATTGTTGTTTATGGTAACAAGACATCACACACCTCCTCCCCCTCCTTCGTCACAGGGCCGGCGCCCCTGTGTGGCACTGAAATACCTTGTCAATAGGTATCAGGGGACTCGAGGGGGAAACCAGCAGGCCACCATCATAAGCCTTAAAAGAGATTAAACACCCCACTCCCGTGACTGTTACATTGTAATCTCTCTCCTCCCGCTGGTCCCATTTGTAGCTAGTTTTTTCTGCAGCTCCCCTGGAGGAACTGGTCCCATTTGTAGCTAGTTTTTTCTGCAGCTCCCCTGGAGGAACGCAGGCCCGGACCTGGAGTGACCATCCCGTCTTGGGATGGGAATTCAATTTCCAGGCTCAGTGACTCCCAGGCCTTTCCAACAAAAGGAAGTCACCATGCACGAGGGCTTGGAGCGTCAGCCAAGACCAAGCACCCCAGGCCTGGCCGGCTCAGAGCACCCGAAGCTCTCGCCTCCCACGGTAGGCGTCAAGGGTTCCGTGGGCCCCATCCCTGGGCGGAGGCCTGGATTTCCCTCAGATTCTCCACCCGGTCCATGAACTCCGTAGACTCCCAACCAGTATTCGAAGGCGAAAATACAGCATCTGTTCGGCCCGAATCTGTACTGTGTCCATGTGGTACCTCCGACCCTTTTACACAAGGAAGAAGTACAGTGAAAGAATCAAGTCAGCATTCTTGCCATGATTCCTAGTCTTTGTGGTGTTTTGTTTTTTGTTTTGAGATGAAGTCTTACTACGTAGCCCACGCTGGTCTCAAACTCCTGGTGATCCTCCTGCCTCAGCCTCCTGAGTGCCAGGATAACGGGTGTGCGCCACTACATCCTGCTGGGTTCTTAGTCTTGAGCCCTTCGCTGACCACGTGCTCCCTCTTCAAGAGCCAACTGAGCTTGCTTATCCTTCTAAAGCGCCACTCTCTTTAACTGAGACTTAAAAACGTGGCACCTCCTCTTACGAGTCCATTCAAACCCACAGCGGGCAACCAGCTTGCCACGCCGAGCTCCCTGGAGAACCTTCCTGCTAGGATCCTTCTCTTTCGCAGGGACTTGGTTCCCAAGCCTCCAAGGGACAAGATTCCCAGAAAATGTCTCCTACTGGGGTTCAGACAGCCATCACAGTTCACCACATCAGCACCGTAAGCAAGAGAATCCCTCTCCCAGCCCACGATCCATCAGCCTCGAACACAGCAGATCAATAGGCGCTTGATAGACGTATGGGGACACCGATCAACCTCCCAGTACTGGTTTATGATTGCTTATTTCTCTTATTACTGTTTGTGTGACATACGCGATCATTAGCCCAGACAGACACTGGGCTATCCGAGCACAGAAACTGACCTACCTCTTTGGGACTGGGTCACCAATTCTCTACGCCCAAAGCCAGCTTGGGAAATGCAGTGTTCTCTGGGGATATCATAAAGTCATTAAGGCATCCGAGAGCTCTGGATCGCGGTCCTTCCAACTTCTGGGGCAGTAAGGCTGAGGACAGGAACGGCACCCATTTTCCAGGGTTTTCCTGGCCAGGTGGTGGTGGTGAGGTGGCCCCAAGAAGAACTGGGGCTCGGTGTTGGGATGGCAGCTTGGGGAGCTGGGTGGGCTCTCCGGGCTGTTTTAGACTGGGCTTTAAGTTCTGGGCAATCATTTTCTCCTTTTCCATTATTCAGAGTTTTGGTCTATAAATCATAATAAAAGTGAATCATTAAATTTGTCTCAATTGAGCCAGTTTTATTTATTGTTACGTTGGAGGGAACTTGGTAACCTGCAGACTGATGGGCCTGGGTGGAGGGGACCACCCTCTAGTAGGAGAGGAAGACACAGGAAGACTGGGGTACCAGGAAAAGCAGTCGAGGGGCTCCGGACCACAACCCTGCAAAGTGCACCCCTAGCCGTGAGCCGAGCATTGTGGGAGGACTGTGTCACCCACCCGGACAGACCGTGGGGGTGAGGACGCTTGGGGGCGAGGGAAGTTCAGCCCCAGGGGTGAAGCTCAGGTCCTGAATGTGTGTGTGTGTGTGTGTGTGTGTGTGTGTGTGTGTGTGTGTGTGCGCGCGCGCGCGTGTGCACAGCCTGCGCACACCCTGGACACCGTGGTGCACCCGAAAGCAGAATGACCGCGCAACCGGATGTGTAACCTGCAGAGGCGAAGGCAAAGCTGGAGATAAGAAAGCAGTGCTCGACTCTAACTTTCTCCAAAGAGGAGAGGGAAGGTAGACCCCGCAGCTAGGAGGGAGCCCCGTGCCAGGCGCAGGCTTGCGGGAACAATGAAGACGGCCCCATTTCGGCGGATGGAGCCGCGCGGTATTAATATGTATCCATAAAACACCGGCTCGCTCGCTCGCAGCCCCTGCATCGCTCTGTTTTGCTCTGACCGCAGCTCCAGCCTCAGGCGCCACAACACAATTTGGAAACAATGTGACGGAAATGTTTAATCTGCTCGGCCCATCTGTGCTGCGTATTTCTCCAGATCTCCCTGAGAGAGGCGCCTTGAATCTCCACATTGCCTTTAATATTCTCCTAAATCACCTCCCCACTGCACTTCAAGGGCCATTGCTACAATATCACAGGTTCATCGGGAGTGCAACGGGGAGGGGGTCGGGGAGGCGCAGGCCGGGAGATTTTTTATTTTAAAATAATTTCCAGAGCGTTGTTTTTTTTT